GGGTCCTGGGATCGAGCCCCGCATCGGGCTCCCTGCTCCGCGGGAGGCCTGCTTCTCCCTCCCCCACTCCCCCTGCTGGTGTTCCCTCTCTCGCCGTGTCTCTCTCTGTCAAATAAATAAATAAAACCTTTAAAAAAAAAAATGCCCGGGATGTGTTGTTCTTCATTTTCTCCATCTCGTTTCGACTCCTATAACGTTTTCTACATTTCCTCTAATGAGCATGCATTCCTTTCATCATTAAAAAAAGAAAAAAAAAATCGCCCCTCTGTAACGGCCCCGGCAGTGTGTGGCGGAACAGAGGACGGAAAGGGGGCTGGCTGGAGTCGCCGGCGCGTCTGTGGGCCCGTCTTCTAAGCAGCGAGAGGGGGCGATCCACTGGCGTAGCTGCGGCCTCAGCACCCCACCACACCCTCCCCTGCGGCCTCAAGGGGCAAAGGAGAAGTGAGTCTCACCGTCTCCCCTTTTCCTCCAGGTGCTTACACCCCAGAGCCCCTCAGCAGTTTCCGGTGGGCCCTTCTCTCAACTGGCCTCATGTTCTTTTACCACTTCAGCGTCTTGCAGATCCTGGGCCTGGTAAGTTTGGTTCGGTCCCCTTCGATCCCCCTCTGTGCGGAGTTCTCCATAAACCTTGATAATCCTGGTTGGCGCTGGCGTATCGTTTTGTTTTGAAAATACAAGATGCCAAAGGCCAGAATGTCAGATTGTTGTGTCTGGGTTGCTGATTTATGCTCCACGGCCTGGGCCTCTCCAAAGGGTTTTCAGAAGCCTTCAGTGTTGACCGTTTCTTTCATCCCCGGGGAGGCAAGGATGCCCTTCGCTCACGACCGCCCAGGTCGAAAACAGCGAGCTGCGGAAAGGGGCTTGCTGTGGACCCTGTGGAGGGGGAGGCAGGACCTTGACCCTGGCCTGGGCCTGGAGAGGAGGCTTCCGACCTCGGGTCCATTCTGGGCCGACTCCCAGGCCCTGAGCTGTGTGGCCAGTGGAAGTGCCGTGTCGGGGGGGACTCCCGTGGCATTCTGGGGTGTTCAGACCCGCCCGGAGCATGGATGATGGCTGGACTCAGTAGTTGAGTTATCCAGAGCCCAACATTGCTGAGCGCATGGGTGTCTACATCGGTGGCAAAGCAAAGGAGGAAGAACTCAGGGCTGCGGGGGGTGGGGGGCCAGGAGACCCAAGGTCAAGGCCTGGCTCTGCCACTGTTCTGGCTGAGTCACCTCACCGTCGAGGGCAGAGAGCTGTCCACCCCTCTGTGACATGGAACCAAACCCCCAGCCTCCCCGAGAGGTGGTGAGGACTTGTCTCTAACGTGGATGGGCTGGAAGGGCTCTGGAAGACAGGTGCCGCGGCCGTCCTCGGGGCAGGAGCGGCATGTCTGGTTTTGTGTGCGAGCGGCAGGAATGTAGCTTCGGCCGCGTGGAGCCTCGCAGGGCCTGGCCGGACTAAGGCACGTGACTGAGGTCACCAGTGGCTCGGGAGGAGCAGTCCCTCTCTCTTCCCCACCTTGGCATACTGCTCTGCTCTGGTTTGCCTGGGGGACAGTTTGAGCTCTTTGCCAGTGGTGTGAATGCTCCCGCACGCGAGGACGACTTTCACACCTTACTCTGAGCGCTCTCCACTGGGACTGCTTGATTCCGGAGGGGTCCGTGTCCTCATGTCACCATACATACCATGCTCAGTCCCACCTGCAGGCCTGGGCCAGGCCGCGCCTCCTACAAGGAAGGCCCCACTCACTCCATTCCTTGCCATGACCTCCATCCATCCTTCATGAGTCCATTCAGGGTGCCACTTACTTCGTGAAATCTTCTGTGAGGACTCAGTGGCCATTCTGTACCCTCCTCCGATCTCATGGTGGGGGAAACCTGGTGAGCATCGTCTGGTTTGAGGTCAGATGTGTTTGCCCAACCAACTCGGTTGGTTGCCGGTTATAAGTGGAGGCAGGGACCATGTCGTTGACTATTCTGTCATCCCCTGACACCTCTCCGGGGACTAGGCACATGGTAGATGCTTAGGAATGACGGCAGGCTCTGGACCCAACTGGAAAGCAAGACTGAGCAACACCAGACAGCTTTTCCACCGGATGGCCTCCCCAGTCACTTCCCCAGGGCTCTAGCCTTGACCCACTCCCCAAAACCCTAGGGCAGAGAAATCCCATCATGAACAGGTGGGGATTGGTCAATCCCTCCTTGTCTAGTCCCCCATTAGGTAGAGATGGCTGAACTGGCAGAAGCCAGAGAAAGCCTCAGGATGGTGAACGCTCACTCTACCTCCCTTGTCCCTGCAGGTCACCGAAGTGAATTTGAACAACATGCTGTGTCCGGCCATCTCAGACCCATTCTACGGCCCCTGGTATCGCATCTGGGCCTCGGGACACCAGACTCTCATGACCATGACCCACGGGAAGCTGGTCATCCTGTTCTCATACATGGCTGGGCCCTTGTGTAAATATCTGCTGGATTTGCTCCGGCTTCCAGCCAAGAAAATAGACTGAAGGTGCTTGTCTTCTTTTTTTTTTTTTTTTTTTTTCTCCCCGAGGAAGCAAGTCCTGACTTGACTTGGAGAACACCCAGTTCTTGACGAAATCATGGGGAGAGGGCAGTAGGATGTTTGGTGTATTTCTTTTTCCTTCTCCTCTCTGTCCCTTTCTTCCACCATGCTTCCTTCCCCAGCTCTCCCCCCCAGGATATCTCCTGGAGCCGGGGGTGGGGGAGGGTTGTGCCAAGGGCTGGATTCTTTCTCCTCCCCTTTGGCTCTTCCTCCCTGCTCCTAGTGGCCTTAACATGGGCGACAGTAGTCAGTGGTTTTCACTCTGCTTGTTGGTGCTTTAAGGACAGCTGGTTGAGAGGACGGGAAATAACAAGCGGCAGTTCTCTTGGCACTGAAGTGATGAGGTTGGGTTGGGTTTCATTTCTCCACTGCCAGGGACCTCCAGGCTTACGCTGGGGTCCCCCCTTTGTCTCCAGCACAGCCCCCACCATAATGGGACCAAGGCCTTGTTTCTATACCAGCGGCAAGCCAAGAGCCAAGGGATTTCCCAGCTCATAGCCAAAATAGAACCTGCCAGAGTCTTCCCACTGGTGTCCCATGACTCAAAGCAAGCAGCCAACCAGCCACTCCCTCCAAAATGCTGCCTGCGGTGGGAGGTGGGGGCGCTCCTTGGCCCCAGGACTAGATTCCGTTGAGGGGGATGGAGAGCTGTTGCGATGGCAGATCCAAAGTGAACAAGTGGAAAATAGCCACCACTCTTTACTAGGCAGGACCTTGGGTAAATTCTGCCTGAGAGAACCAAGAAGTGACCCATATCCCGATCAGAAGTGAGCGTTAGAAATTCATCAACGGAAGTGGTAACTTGAGAAAACTGTGATTTGAATCATATGCTCCATTTTAGTTGAATGTTTGATAGTAGATGCCATTTTAATCTTGAGTGCCCCTCAGTGTTTCTCTCTCTCTCTCTCTCTAAAAGGCAGCTTCAGGGAAGGGTGAGCTGGAGTTGGGTTTTTTGCCTTTTTTTTTTTTTTAATTTGTTTGCTCCCTTGTTTTTGGAAGTTTGAATTCGGAGAATCCTTGCGTCAGGGGCCTGTCTCTGCAGGGGCTCCTATCCCTCCGTTCTGTGCTTTCACAGACTATGTCAGCATCCTGGGTTGGGGGAAGAAGATACAGATCCCGCTGATGTTGTCACCCTAGGGCCACGTGTCGTCACCACAGCCAGATTCCATGCTGAATTGTTTCACATGGGGGCATCACACACTCCTCCACCCTCCACCAAGCCCACCCCCAAAGCCCATGTCTGGGTTGCAAAGGACGTGCCAAGAAATCAGGTCCCCGTGGGTGCAGGTTCAAGTGCTTCAAGAGGAAGACCTTTTGTCCAAAGACTTGAGCTCAGTCACGCAGGGACTTCAAGGAGGGAACCAGTGGCGGGGCATTTGCTGACTCCTTGTGGGCTCTAACTAAGAACAAGTTTGCCTAAGAACAGGAAAGGTGGTTCAGTGACTTCCTCTGATGGCCCCACCCCACCCCTACTCTAGGCAACCCGGTCACCCTGGGCTGGTCCTGTATTCTGGGCATTACTGTATTATAATAGACCTAGATTGAGCTTCAGTGACTCAGTGGTCGGACCTACAGAAAGCAGCAGGGTGCAGGAGAGTCTCTTGGAGCAAGGTGAGGCCCAGGAAGCAGCCGCGGGAGGGACCGCCCTTCTGCAGAGGCCTGCTGGCGCAGAGACGATCAGTTCCCAGGACGTGGTGGGGGAGCCCGAGGGAGAACACCGAATACTCTGACTCCCCTTGAGCTCCTCGTGACGCATACTCTTCATTTTCAGCACCCCCCCAACCCCCGAGGGCTTGGCCAAGTTTGTCTCGGTGCCTCTTACTGTCGGGGTGTCCTCCAGAAGGGCCCCGTGAGCAACTGGATCCACCCTGCCCGCCATAGGGATGGCCGATAAGAAAATGCCCAAGGCCTCAGTGCCCCTTGGCTCTTTACAAAAAGAGAGGTTGGAAGGAGGTCACAGGAGGAGCCCCTGGAGGCATGTCCTGTCCCCTTCCAGAACATGGAGTCTCCATAGGCAGATGGTGTGTGCCTGGGGGGGCGGGGCGGGGAGCAGCCTGGGTGGGGCAGATGCTCAGCGTCGGAACGCTGGGGTGGCGCAGTGACTCCGCAGACTCGCCCTTCCTCCCTGTCTCCGTGGCGCGGCACAGGGGGCCAGTCAGCCCGGCCTTTCCGGCAGCCGCATGCTTCTAGAAGCTCGCCTTTGCCCTGGTTATATAGCTCAGTGCCCCATTCTGGCTGATCCTCTCTGCTGCTTGGAAGGAAAGAAGAAAGGGAAAGCCACGTGCCTGGCCAGGCCAGAGGCAGCTCCACCTGTCAGGGGAAGGGGGAGGTGGAGGTGAGCCGTAGGGCCAGGGGGCGCTCAGAAACATGCAGGTGGAGGGAAGAGAGAGCGAGCCCAGTCCATAGGCCGCACGGGGACCCGCAGCTTGTGTTCGAGGTGTGGGGGTGCGGCAAGCACCTGACATGGTCTGCACCTCTTACCTTGGGCCCGGCCCGTGGAGACAGACAGAACCTGAGCCCACCTAAGGCAGCCTGCCTTGGAGGGTGGCCCCCCGTGCCAGGGGCCCAGGCTTCCCAGCTCCTGCCTTAGGGCTTTCCTGGCAGGACCAAGGAGGTTCCCCAGCCACCTTGGCCAACTTTCCAGATGCCATTTGGCAGCGCATGGGAGCTCACCGTGTGTGTGTCTGAGAGTGTTCAGAGAAGAGGACAGTTTCTTTTAAAACAGCCCCAGGAAGGGAAATGAGGGCTTCTCCAGCCCCTTGGGTAGCCTCTGCCAAGGATCTGGGCCAACGCGAAGGGTCCACTTTGCTGGCCAGCTTGCGGCAGCAGTTCAGAATAGCCGAGGTGATCACGCCTGCTTCCGGCCCCATCCCTCTTCCCAGTACTGGGTTCTGTACACCAAAGATGGTCCGGCCCATCTTCTTCCCGGAGGCCCGGGGACGTGTTCGTCTGTCCGCTCGGAGGGCGGTCGGGTTTAGTGGGACAGTCGGCTTATTTGCCGTCTGCTACCTCCAGCCTAGCCTCTGTCAGGGTTCTGCTCTCCGTGCTCCTTGCTAATTCAGCGTTTTGTGGAGTGGGCACAGCTCCCCACCCACAGCAAGTTGTCCATCTGTCTCCGCGCACTGGTGTTGGGGCCTGGTGGGGCCCCCCCAGGCTGAGTTGGGCAGCTCCGGGGGGGTACCAGAAAGCCCTTCCTCCCCCTCCCTGGATTTGTAGCCGTTGATCCAGAGTCCTCTGTCCTCTTTGGGAGACTGAAGGGGAGGTGGGGGGAGGAGACAAGAGGTTCAGGATGCGGGTGCTGGTTTTGGTAGATCGAGAGCAGACAGAGGGTGTCCTTCGGGCCCTGGCGTGCTCCTCAGCAGGCCCCCGCCCAGGGAGGGGTCCCCCACCGCACGCACTGCCCTGCCCTGCCCTTTCGGAGCGGGTAGAGTCTGTGAGACGGAGTGAACCTTCTTCTGTATATAGAGTGAGCCAGTCTGTGCTCAGGAAAACCTAATCGCTTGTTGTTGCTCCTGTTACTTTTTTTTTTTTTTTTGTACACTGGTTTTCTCCTCGTGGCACGGAACAAAACAAAGCAAAAGTCGTCTCAAGCAAAGCTGTTGTTTTTGGAAACTTGCTTTCTTTCGCTGTGAGTTTTGTACTATAAAGAATTCTTCATTTATATCGGTGTTACTGTGGTAGAGAGAATAAGATAGTCTTATTTTTGCCAGGGAATTGGCAAACGCCTCTGGCCCGCCCCCGCCCCCCAATCCTTCCCCATCCCCGGGTGGATTTGCCGTGTACTAAGCAGACCCCTCCCTGGCACTCCACACCCAGGGGCCCCCTTTAGAACCCGTCTTCGTAAGCCCCCTATATTTTTGCCAAGCTGGTGTGCTCGCTGCCCCCCCCCCTCGCCTCCGCAAACTAGTTTGCTCACCTCCCGGGGCATTTTGTAATGCGTTTTCTCTGTTTTGTAAAAAACCTTTTGATTGTACCAAAATGGTTTCTGCAGTCACCTTTGGAAATAAATGGTCATTAATTTGTGTACCTAGCATTCTAGAATTTTAGTCTTAGGTGTTTCTGTGGTTGAAGATCCCCGAATGATAAAGGACCCCTCACCACGGGACTTAACTGTTACAATGTTTTCTTCATTTACTCTTATTAAAAGATTTATGAGAACCTAGGCGTCTTGGCCTTCCTTCCCCGAATCCTCTTGGAAGTCCCTCTGCTTTGAAAAGTAGCCAAAAGGACCATTCGCTCCCCCCACCCCGCGGCGGACCACCAAAGGGCAGCTCTGGCCTGGGAGCCCCGTGGCCGGAAATTCCCGTGCACGCTGCCTGCTTCCACTGGGGACATAGGAGGCCTTTTGCTCTTGGTGGGGACTGTCTTCTGGGGACATCCGCTGGCTTCACTGAGCACCCCCTCCAGGTGCGCTGGGCCAGGCTATAAATGAGCCGGGGCCCTGCAATCTCGGGGCCACAGAACCACTAGCTGGGGCCAAGCCATGTCCCCCAGTTCTCCACCTGTAGAACGATAGCGACATCCGTGTGCCCTGCATGGCGCGACATCCCTCCACACACATGCCCTCCTGTGATCCCCACAGCCGCACGCCAACTGGCTGGTAACGCTGTCCCCGGTGGACGTGGGAGGGCAGACACCGAGAGAGCAGGCTGAGCTAAAAGAGATGCTGGGACGCCAGGCCAGTCGTGTTAGACTCCAAAGCCCATGCACTTGGCGCTCTCCTGGGACTCCGCTGCCCGTCGGGAGGGCCGCGATTATCGGGCGGACCGCTGCCTGGGGGCCCCCAGCCCCGAGAGGAGTGGGAGCAGAGCCAGGCGGGGGTGTGGAAGGCAAGCAAGAGGAAGGGGAACCCCTCGAATGTGCGAAGCAGAGGAGCCAAACCCAGCTTGTGACCCCGGGGAGCCCCAGAGTAGAGCTGAAAGGCACAGGAGTAAAGGGGGGCAGGGACG